GCCAGAGGCGCGTCGGGCTGGAGCCGGTCACGATGCCCCGAAGGAAGCAAAGCCACCCGCAGCCCGTGAAATGCGAGGGGGTCAAAGGTCAGGGGTCGCAGTTGCGGGGGAGGAGCGGCTGTGGGGTCAGTGGATGGGTTCAGGTCGGGGTGGCGGGGGCCTCCTGAGGGATGGTGTGGGCGCTGTGGGCTCCTCGCTGCCCACCGAGGGACGAAGGGAACCCGGAGGGTCTCCGGGTCTGGGCAGTCCGGTTCCGGTCCAGAGGCCAGGCCCCCGGGGCGGATGGTGGGCACGGTCCTGAGAGAAAACGCGCAGCCTCTCCCCTCTCCAGTGGACACCGAAGACTCCCTCGATGAAGGACCGGGGGCCCTGGTGCTGGAGAGTGACCTGCTGCTAGGCCAGGACCTGGAGTTTGAGGAGGAAGAGGAAGAGGAGGAAGGTGACGGCAGCAGCGACCAGCTCCTGGGCTTCGAGAGAGACTCCGAAGGTGAGTTTTGGGGACTCCCCTGGACCCAGCCCTCGGGAGACGGTGAGGTTAGATGTGAGCTAGACTCTCCCCGTGCCGACTTGCCCAGTCCGCTCCATCACTGCGCGGAGGTGAAGCTCTGGGGCCTGGGCCAAAGGCGGTGTGAATAGGACAGTGGAGGAGTCACTGGTTAAAAGTAAACGTCCTTTTTGTAACCTTGTCCCGCTCCGCAGCCCGTGCCTATGCGAGTTTACTTCCGAGGTTCGGGGGAGGACTTGGAGCTGGCACTTCATGCCCAGTCTCCTCACCTGTAGCTTAAGCTCCTTTTGTGTGAGGTTTTGGCCTCTGCCTTTGAGTCCTCCCACCCCATCCTAACTTGCCGCACTGCCCCTCAGTCATGCCCCGTATGAGGCTGTTTTTGTCATTGCGGGAACCCACCTGCAGCATCCTTCAGGTTGAGGTGGCATTACATGCATTACTTCATTTCTGTTTTCCCCTCAATTTTGCCTCACTCTTGTTATAATCAGATCCATGTTAAAAGAAGCCTTACTAATATAGAGTTTAGAAAAGTTCCAGGCCTCTTCCTGGTGTATTTTTTCTTTTGTATCCTAAGAATCAGTTAATTATATTATTGTTGATTCATTTCAGTCTGTGGTCCCTTGTGGTCCTTGATCTTTTCTCATGAAGTGGAACTAGGCACTAGCTAGTCCAGACACAGCAGTAGACAATTCATATTTAGTTTTCGGGATCACTGAAGGGAAGAGAAAGGTGGGGCCAAGCACATAGGAAGACCATGAGTGAGCAAGGGTGTTTGGAGTCTAGTCCTACCTAATGTTGATGTCTCTTCTCATGTCTGTCTCACCAGGAGACTCTCTGGGGGCCAGGCCTGGGCCTCCCTACGGGCTGAGTGACGACGAGTCTGGGGGTGGCCGGGCACTAAGTGCGGAGAGTGAAGCTGAGGAGCCATCCAGGGGCCCAGGGGAGGCTAGGGGTGAGAGGCCAGGCCCAGCCTGCCAGCTGTGTGGGGGGCCGACAGGTGAGGGGCCGTGTTGTGGGGCAGGAGAGCCGGGTGGGGGGGCCCCGATGCCCCCACGGCTACTATACTCATGTCGCCTCTGCGCCTTCGTGTCCCACTACTCGAGCCACCTGAAGCGGCACATGCAGACCCACAGCGGGGAGAAGCCGTTCCGCTGTGGCCGCTGCCCCTACGCCTCAGCCCAGCTCGTCAACCTGACACGACACACTCGCACCCACACTGGCGAGAAGCCCTACCGCTGTCCCCACTGCCCCTTTGCCTGCAGCAGCCTGGGCAACTTGAGGAGGCATCAACGCACCCATGCAGAGCCCCCCCCTCCTCCCTGCCCGACCTGTGGCTTCCGCTGCTGTGCTCCTCGTCCAGTCCGGCCTCCCAGTCCCACAGAGCAGGAGGGGACAGTGCCCCGGCGACCTGAAGGTAAAATGCCAGGACCACGGAACCTGGGACACAGGTGGGTGGCCCAGGGGTACTTGGATTCACCAGGTCTCATTGTTCCCACAGATGCTCTGCTGCTTCCAGATTTGAGCCTCCACGTGCCGCCAGGTGGTGCCAGTTTCCTGCCAGACTGTGGACAGCTGCGGGGTGAAGGGGAGGGCCTTTGTGGGACCGGATCAGAACCACTGCCAGAGCTGCTGTTCCCTTGGACCTGCCGAAACTGTGGACAAGAGCTGGAGGAGGGCGAGGGTAGTCGGCTGGGAGCCGCCATGTGTGGGCGTTGCATTCGAGGAGAGGCTGGAGGTGCCAGTGGGGGGCCTCAGGGCCCTAGTGACAAAGGCTTTGCCTGTAGCCTCTGCCCCTTTGCCACTCACTATCCCAATCATCTGGCCCGGCACATGAAGACACACAGTGGTGAGAAGCCCTTCCGCTGTGCCCGCTGTCCCTATGCCTCTGCTCATCTGGATAACCTGAAGCGACACCAGCGCGTCCACACGGGAGAGAAGCCGTACAAGTGCCCCCTCTGCCCCTATGCCTGTGGCAACCTGGCCAACCTCAAGCGTCACGGTCGCATCCACTCTGGGGACAAACCTTTTCGGTGTAGTCTTTGCAACTACAGCTGCAACCAGAGCATGAACCTCAAACGCCACATGCTGCGGCATACAGGCGAGAAACCCTTCCGCTGTGCCACCTGCGCCTACACCACGGGCCACTGGGACAACTACAAACGCCACCAGAAGGTGCATGGGCATGGTGGCACAGGAGGACCTGGCCTTTCTGCCTCTGAGGGCTGGGCCCCACCTCACAGCCCCACCTCTGTTTTGAGCTCTCGGGGTCCGTCGGCCCTGGGCACCACTGGTAGCCGGGCTCTCCATACAGACTCACCCTGAACTAGGTCCTTCTCCAGGGCTGTAGGATTAGCCCTGACCCTCCTGTAATGGACCAGAAGCCACCTTCTCTTTCCTCCCCCGCTGGCCAGGGGCTCCAACAGACTAACTTAGGCACACTATGGACCACGGGCCTTGCCTTGACTGGTGCACTTCATGAGCTCAGTGAGAAGGGCCCTGTATACACCTCCACTGCTCCCAGAGGCTGTGGAGAAACTGGCTGGGGGACTGCCCAGCCTCCCACCTGTTTATTTAACTTATTTCAGTACTTTATAATAAAGGAAACACTAACAAAGCCATGTCTATGCTGAATTGGCAGTGGCAAGCACAGCTCAGCCTTCCTCTTAGCACAGCAGTCCATGCTATGATGGGGGAAGCAGGGGCAGAGAGGGAACCAGAGGTAGGCAGCAATCAGGCTGAGTTTAATGAGGGGAAGGTGGGCCGGACCATACACAGACCTCTGCCCATCCCCTTGGCCCATGGCCCTGAGGAGCCAGAAGCTGCTGGGGGGAACTATGGTTCCTCCCCCAGGCAGGTAACCATGGTCCCATGGACTTTGTGCAAAATACTAAATGCTAATTTGGCATTGAGGGCCAGCTCTGAAAAGGGGATAATCCTTTGTGCAGCCAGCCCAAGGGGGAAGGGAAGGTTAGGAGGCCCCTGGCCAAGAGGAGAAAAGGGAAAGGTAAGAAGGAAAAGACCCCTGGGTTTGGGGGATACAGGCACAGGGCAAGTTTTTGAACATTCCTCTGGGGTAGAGGGCAGACATCCTAGCACTGGAGATCACAGATCCTCATCTCCAATGCCCTCGAAGGCGAAATTGCCATGGACGTCACTGGCACTGGCATCTGTGCTGGGACTGCCAATTCCCCGCAAGCTCACGGCACTCAGCTTGCTCTGTAACAAAGGCAGGGTGGGGTCAGAGGGCTCAAGCCTCCCTGAAATCCCCCTACAAACACCCACTTCACCAACCCTCATGGGAAACTCACTGAGAGTTTGACCATGGACTCCCGGCTGGCATCAGGTGACTCCTGGGGAAGAGGCAGAGATGTCAGAAAAAGGCTTCTCATATCTGCGGATATGAGAAGCCTGGGGCCCAGGTACCGATACTTAACACTTACAAGCAGCGGTGGGGATTTCACTGCTTGCTGGCTGTCTGAGCGTCTCAGGGTGCCCCCCACCCGCCGGCGCAGCATCTGAGGATGGAGATACAAGACACTGATAAGGGCAGGACCACTCCCTTGGGAATCCCCAGCACTTTCCCCTCCCTCACACCTGGTACAAAAGGCAAGGTAGAGCACAACTACCTGGTCCACACTTGCTACTTACCTTCCTGATACTGCCGCCGGATTTCTTCACCATCAGTTCATCTACCATGGACTGCAAACAGATGCTCATCATGATAGCCTGAGGGTGAAAGGAGAGCTCAGTCTAGAGTTGCCATCCTGAGCCCGGTACCCCTAAGACAAGGACTCCCACTCACATGCAGTCCTGGAAGCCCTAGACTTGGGTATCTAATAGAGGCGGTGCAATGGGGTCCAGAGGCCTGAGGGTGGGCTCACACCTGGGGGCTGGTGATGGTGACCCACTGGAGCCGGTCCTTGCTCATGAGGTATTCAAAAGCCAGTTCCAGGCGCACCTCACCCCGGCCCCGGCCCGGGCTGCTTGTGCCTCCGCTGGGCAATGGCACCTGGGAGAGAGAGAGGGATTAGGCCGAGTTCATTCTCACCAATCTGCCATGCTCTCTGACTCACTGCAGCCCAGCCCATTTCTGAAGCTGATGGCTTGTCAGACCTCCACCCCAAAGGCTTCTCCCTTCCACCCCAACTCACAGAGGAGGTGACCCGCCAGCACCGCATGCGGGTAACCCGGAAGGAGCCTTCGCGGAGTTGCTGGCCAGGCAGGCGGAGCTGGAGGCTGAGCTCACTGTTGCCTGCGCTCACCACTACTGGACAGTCCTTCTCTGGGAAGTCAGCCACACAGGCATCGAAGCGCAAGTAGCCATAGTGCCGCAGCGTCTGAGCCAGCCGCAGGAACTGAAACCCAGTCACCACATGGGGTTGGTCAGGAGGGGAAGCGGGGCAGCTCAGAGGAAGCAGCCCCTTAAAGGGAGACAGGCAGAGCTCACCTCCTTCTTGGAGACCTTCTCTTGCAGTGATTTGAGCTGCCGGTGCTGTTCCTTCGTGACCAGGATCCACCCACGCTCAATGTCTGATACCGTCTACAATGAAGACGGGCTGAGTCAGAGGTACAAGGAGAAGTGTCTACCTCTATCCAGCCTGACCCCGAGCTCCACATCTGAAGAACCTCTTTGCAGTGAGTCCTTGACCCTGACCAGATGTTGTGCCAGGTACCCTGCTAATATTCTAGGAACTTCCCCCATGGAGAAAAGACATGAAGGGAGTTTTCCTGGCAGCGTGGGAGACCAGAGTCATTTTCAGAGGAAGGGTTCTGAAGCACCTCCAAGCTCACCTGAGCATAAAGCAGGTTCAGGCCAACCCGGTTCTCCATGACATCATCATCATAGGCAGAGTCCCAATAACTGTGAAGCCAAGGGGTGGAAAGGGGTAATGGGACTGAGCTGGGGTAAGGCGAGAGGTAGACTGGAAAATAGGGGCAAAACAGGAACAATCTAGAACTATCGGGCTAATGGTGGCACGATGGGAGGAAGCTTGGTACAAACACCCAGTGCTACCCCCTTGTCCAGAGTATTCTGTCTCAATACATGGCCCCAAAATTCAATCTAGCACGTCCCCCTTCTCCAAGCCCAGCCCTGACCTCTTTCTTAGCACAATCTTATACTCTTGACTCCGAAGACTGGTAACTGACACATAAGGCAGCTCGAACTCTTGCAACTTCCGTACAACTACAGGTTAAAAATAAAACAGGAAAATGTCATGAGACTCAAGGGGAGGGAAATCAAGAGGGAAGCCCTGAGGAAATGCCAGGGGGGAGATGGAGGCAAATTCACTACTGGAAGCACAGGGTAGCAGTGAAGTACAGAGAAACTCACAAGAAAAGGCTCCATCCTCTTTTTCTCGAACTAGAAAGAGACTAAAGTATCCGATCAAGTCATCGGGAAGATCCAGCTTTGCAGCCACAGCCTGTGGGTAAAGAAGGAAGTACAGCTCACCATACTGGCTGGTTCCAATCAACCCCCAAACCTGGGACCCTGGGGTGCAGGGGTAGTGCAGAACTAGCACCTCACCTCCAGGACATCTTCAGTCTGATCTGAAGTTAGCACATTAACCAGAACTTTCTGCCCGTTGCTGAGCAGCACTTCCAAGGAGACCTCTTCGGTGGGGACCTGCTGTGTCTCCTGGGAATGGAAGCCACCACTTTGTTAACCCCTGTCCAACTCTGTGTCTAGGTCCCCCTGGTGTCTTTATTCTCAGCTGCTTAATTACATGTTTCCCTGATTTCATCGGTACAGCAGAAGCCCCATTCCATAAAAAAAATGGTGCCAGGATGACTCCTCTTAGCCATTCATTCAAGTGAAGTGGCCCTACAGGAAGGCCCTTCCCTTAAATCTTGGCCCTACCCCAAGCCTCACCTGTTGTGCTCGCCGCAGAAAACTATTGAAGGTCTCACTGCTCCCAAGCAATGGGTCTTGCCGAACTGCAGGGGCAAGAAAATGATGTTCCAGTAACTTAAGACTCCTCCTTAGCTTCTCCCAGTTATCTTGGTAAGTCGTCCCCCCCCCCCCCCCCCCCCCCCCCCCCCCTCCTTTCCTCAGCTGATGGTGGCCTGTCACATTCCAAGCTGGCCTCATCTCATTCACTGTTTGCATGAATTCTTGACCTGCTCCACCCTTCACTGCCATCTAGTTGATCAGTCTATGGAACTAGGGAAATAACAATGATGTCCATCGAAAGCACATCAGATACAAATTAAGTTCTCCCCACCGATCTAAACTGCTTTAAGACTATTCAGTGTCATATTAGTATTTCTCATAGATGTTAGTGCCCAGGTTGCTTTGCTAGTATCTACAGCATCCTTGCATGCTACTTACTCTTGCTAATGAAGTACAGGTCACACAAGAAGCTTTCCATATCTAGAATTTAGGACCTTCTACAGAACCAGCTATCTGGTCTCTCCCCATAGTCCTCTACACAGCCAGCCTAAAGTTCCCTCCAACCACTCACCAGCTTGCATGTACTTCTCTAACTGCTCTCTCCTCTGTTCTACCTCAGCAGGTGTCAAAGAGAAGAGCTTCTTTGGGGGAAATGCAGGAAGCACATTGGCCCCATACTCCTTCCGAAGCTATTTAGAGAAAGATACAACCCTTCACATACATAGCAAACAAGAATAGGCAATCCACACTCAATGTTGTTTTGGGCTCCCTTTCCCTTCCCTCAGTCCCTGCTTTCCAATCTAACTTCGTCATCCATGAAGCAATTCCTTTGGCGGAAGTAGCATTCAAATAAAGCCGCCCCTCTGTCCTAGATATAAGTTCTTTCCTATCTGTGTACAAGTCAGTCCCTTCACAATGTGGGGAGGGTTTTTGTATGGGACCTAGGGAGCCCCTTGGTTATCTAGAGCAAGACTGTGTTCATTGGATCCTCACAGGAAGCAAAGGAAAATTTCCTTTAAAAGGAAAACTTATGTACAGCATTGAGGGACTTATAGAGATTTCACAGATCAATGAGTCCATTTTTCAGTTGTAGGAACCGAGGCCCCAAAAAATTAGGTAACTGGCTCAGGGTTGCACAACTAGTTACCAGTAGAACCAGGACTCTGTTCAATACAGAGTTCACAACCTGGTGAGAATAGCAGAGAAATATTGCATCACAGACACATAAAGATAACTGGAACAGTTACACTGAGATGAGCTACGGAACACAGAAGGAAACTGGTTAATGGTTTGTACGAGCAGGGAAAAGAATCTCAAGTTGCAGCCCAGATGACAGAAAAGAATGTGCTTTGGCAGCTGAAAGGGGGGTGGGCGGGAGGTACTTTTTCATGCACAGGCACAGCCTGAAGTTAGCCAGGGGTCAGGGAAGCAGGAAGGAGAAGTGAGCACAGGGAGAAACAGTCAGAGGGCAGGCACTCAGCTTCTCAGGGAGTTCCCCGGAAGTGTCAAACGATAAGATAAAGTCCCAGGGCCACCCCTGCAGCAGTGACTACAGCTACAGGAAAGCAGGAAAGCGATGAGGGGAGACATGGACGACCAGAGACAGGCTCGAAGCTGCCTCAGTGCAAGGGTGCGAGTCCCACCTGCTCGTGCAGCCCCAGGAGTTGGCTGTAGCGCACCCGACAGTGCAGGACTCCATTCACGTGAATGTTATAGGCCTG